TGTAATAAAATTTTGTCTTGGGTAAATTTCAGAAAAAAAATAAAAATTATTACCTGCATAGCCTTAATAACCTGAAGATTGGGAATATTCTCTAATTCAGGATGTTTTGGTGCATGGTAGTCCTTCTTTGCCACCATGACTCCCTCCTTGAAGAGGTACTCATAGATAGCCACACGATTCTTTTTTGGCATCAACATCCTGTGAATAAAAAAAGCAGTAAAAATATAATCTAATTCATATTAACTTAAGGTACTCCATTAAGTAACTCCATTAATAAGCAAAAAATTATAGATTTAATAAATAATTTTTCCTATTTTTTCTCTTGATGTGATAGCATTTCACTTTACTTTTAGGTTATGTGTCACAATAATAAAATATATAGATATTGCACAAATATTGTATTATAAATCTGCTATGTATCTTCGAGGTTCTCTTACGTTATCCAGAGTTGTAATTATGAATTACAGAAAGTAATTAATAAAGTAAAGATTGTTGTTGGAGAAATATGACAGAATTGTGTAGTGTATTCGCAAGAACGATATGTAATATCAAAATTAATAATGAAACATGGTTGGTACTGAGAAGATTGAGAATTTTGATGAACCTTTCGTTTATTCGTAGTTTTCAGAAATAAATAGGATTGAAATGGATTTACTCGAAGCTCGATATACCTGATGATTTCAACGTGCGTCTACTGCCGACATTTATCGAAAAAGAGGAAGTGGCGCATCGAATCTGGTCATGTGATGAAAAGTGGGGAGTTGGCGCTCGAATTAAATTTATATACTGTGTCGTGTGTACATACTTATATACACATATAAATTCTAATTAAATATTTTATTTAGATTCAGAATAGAGAAAAGATAATATACTTCGTATTTTACGCTGCTGAAATTTATTTATAACGATTATTTAAATCGTTGCGTGACATTGTATCGTTTATTGATGTGACAACTCGGATATGACTTTATTAATAATACAAATATTCGCAAATTGCGTGTTCTAAACTCAAGACCGAGAGTATCTTTATTGATTCATTTCCAGTTTTTGGCCAGCTTTTGCGTCTTGCGTTTTACATAAATTCGTAGATTGCGATACGTGGGTAAAATTCTTGCAAAAATGGGAAGCACGTTTCTCAGAATTATAAAAAATACAATGCAAATATTCGTAGAAGTTTACAAAGAATTCTTGTTGGAGTCAACGATAGGTGGACTTAAGTATATGATTTTAGCAAAAACAAAATTAGAGAGGTGTTGTATATTTCATAATTATTAATCAAAACCATTTTTCTCATACAATTTATTATTACCAACAATATTGCCAGTGAAATCGTAAAAGTGGTAAATGCACCACTTTATACAAAATATTTAGAAAATTATTTTTATAAATAATTATTCTCAGTGTCAATTAATGATATTAAATATTTATTTATTCTCATCAGATTTATCTGGATGATTATTCTACTATTGTCCTTCTTTGCTGCTGGACGGTTGACTTGTTTATTATACTACAGACATCAGATCGGTAGTATAAATACTTTTGTAATTACTACTCAATATTCGACATCCATGCTGGAGCTACCTGCGTTAACTCTGTGCCACGGCGGTATCGCAATGGCACACAAGATGAATCCTTTCTTGACATCACAGAAACGAATGTAAATTTGCAACTCAATAACTATTCTGCTTAGTGCATCAATACTTTATACTGATGTATAAGAAACGAAGCTATTTTAGATTCATGCCGCGAGGGCTGACGCGTGCTGACTTCGAGGAATCCATCAAGTACTTACGGGAGGCAGTCTACTCTACAAATTCTTTTCCTGATGAAATAGACAAACTACAACAGATTCTCTCGGCAAACCAGCTTTCATTGGTGGATCTTTTCGAGAATATCAATGCAAACTGCAGCGACTTTTTGCTGATGTGTCAATTTGAAGGTAAAACCGTCAACTGCTCGGAACTGATCGAGCCAGTGCTTACTCCTTATGGCATTTGCTGCGCCTTCAATTATGAAAATTCTCACCGGCAAAGGTGATTTAAAACAAAACAGAAATGCAAGAGACGAATTTTAAAGATTTAACGATTAAGAAGTCTTAATTTGATTCTATTGATTGTTGTTCAGATCCACAAAGCTACTGAAGCGCAACAGCGGGAGAGTCGGTCTGCACTTTATTTTGTCTTTTCTCATGAAATCGTATTCTTCGAAGGATTACATATCATCCTTGATGCAAGGCGACGGAGTGAAGGTGATGGTGCACGAAAGAAACTCATATCCTTCAGCCAAAGTCTTGGAATTTTTTTCTGCTGCTGGCCATGAGACTATAGCGCAATTGGACGGAACTCGAACAACCAGCACGTCTGACGTACTCGGTCTGCCCTCCCATTTGAGAGGATGCTCTTCGGGTTTAAGACGGGACAATCGTCAAGACAATTGTTACAACAAGTGCCGAGATGATTATATACAGGAACATTGTGGCTGTCACCCTCTATCTGCGAGACCCATTGAACGTGGCAAGCAATGGTGCAATCTCAATCATATCCCGTGTATGGCTCGCATTCTGCTGTTTAGCACTTACAAACTTATGAAGTATAAGCAGTGTAATTGTTTACCGAACTGCGAGGGCACAACGTACAGAGTAGCGCTCACAGCAGCACCCTTGAATGCAGCGCAATACAGTCCTAATCCGTTCTAGTAAGTAAACATATTAATAAATTGTTGCAGAAGTAGATCTGTTACAGTATCCAAAATTTTAGCTAGAAAAAAAATTTTTTTGCGAACTTAACTTTGGGCAAACAAGTAGATCATGAAATCATATTCTTTAGTTAATTTTAAATGGACTTTAATAAAATAATTTGAACTGCTTGACAGCAAAAAGGTTCTGGAATATCAAAACGTAACTGCACTCCATCTCACATTTGTTGGGCAAACAGCAATGTTACAGAAGCGAAAATTAATGTTTTCAAACATAAACCTCTTATGTGAGTAGCAATGCGATATAGATATATACAATTTTGACTGTTATAATTAATTAGATGTTAATTTTGCAGCGTCTCTAGGCGGTGTTTTCGGTTTATTCTTAGGATGCAGTATAATTTCTATCATTGAAATTCTATATTTCTTTTGCATCTTCTTTGTCAGAAAGTTTCAAAGCAGAGATGCTCAGAGAAAAATATGGATGACATTCATTAAGAATTAATTTCACAATTTGGATGTCAAGCAAAAATATTAAATACTGATAATTAATAACAAAATTAAGCATTTTAATTATACTTAATTAATTACATCTTACTCTTAATTGTTCTCATCATTATTCTCTGTACAATCTGAACTGACTTCGGATTCCTCTGTTTTATCTTCATTATGAATATTTAAGGTATCTGTAGTTTTTTTAGTTTTTTTCTTATGCTTTGTTCTTGTATCTGCTTTCAAATACAGTTTATGTCCGTTTAAAGTTGGCCATTTGCTTTTCTTTTTTAAGTATTCTGCTGCTATTTGAATATTTTCCATTTTGGCAATTGCACTTCTATATGAAAATATATGAATATATTATTATATAAGATACAATTTTAATGTTTATTGCTAAGTAAATCTTTCATGAAATAATTATATAAACTATACTCACCTACAGTTTTATTATAAGATTTTAATAAAGTAATAGAAACACATCCAGGAAGAGCACCTTTTAATTCGTGTGATTTTGTGCCATTCATTATATTTGAGATAAATATCCTATATAAAAAAACATAAAATATAAATAATTCTATCTGTAAATTTTTGATTAAAATAAAAATAATACTCTTACGTTTGCGTCACTATCATATCTGGCTTGATTTCAGGTATGTAAAGCTTCTTCTTCTTCTTTACCTTTCTGATTTTCTTATCTAGCACAACAGCATGCAGTGGTTGAATAATAATTCGCTTGCCATTGATTGTTTTATCTTTTGCAAGCTTATAATTTTTAATTTTTTCCTCTACATTGGGGAATACAACATGGCATGATCTGCTAGACTGTCGAGGTAATTTCACTCGAAAATCACCCACAAATAAATTTTCAACATCCTTTTTATCTTTTATTACGTGAGGAAGAGACACATTCAGTGTTCGTTCTCTTCGTTTTTCAAGTTGATGCAATTTCCGAACTTTCTGCATAACCTTCAAAAAGTCACGTTGTATATTAAGATTATATATTCAAAAATTACAAGACTACGATAAAATTGTAGTATAACTACTTTTCTATGAATCCTATAAAGTAAAATTCTTTTTATAGAAATAAATAATAATACTAAATTTTATTAAATTTAATGAAAAAATTAAATTTTGCTCATTTAATGTAAATATACATACGTATTGCTATGTATAATATTTAGCTTAATTTGAAATAAGATACTTGCAATAAATCGACAAATTCTTTTCTTTTATAAAAAATTATAATAATTACTTCGTTTGAAATAAAAAAACTACTTGCAGCTGGTTGATAGTTTTTTTGTTATTCTATATTAGTATCGTTTTCTTCCAAAACTATAAACATACATAGATGGAAACACCAATTGAATAAAAACACAATCATCAAAGAATTTTTACAATATTCGGTATTACAAGCCAATTTGATAATTAAGATTGTAAAATTTCAAGAATATGATGTTAAATTAATTTAATTTAAAAACCTTTCAGATTTAAAAAAATACAATTTAAGCCAGCATCAGACTATACAACTTGTTGCTATGTAATTCGCATGCAATCTAGTGAATTATTAGAAATGCTGTGTGCTGTATGGTGCATTTTTAGTAGTTTACTAGATCGCATACGAGATTTATTGCAACAAATTGCAATAGTCTGATACAGGCTTTAGAAGTTCTACAAAAGATTTGTTCTCGGTTGCTCATCTTTATAACATTTTATTCGTGCCTGAAGTGAAATGACGTCACATATCGGGTGACAGCTCCATACTGCTTCATACTGTGCTTTTTCTTCTTCGGCTCATTTCAACTTTCTTTGCTTCCAATGTGCTGTGCATGTGGAAAGAGTGAGGTTAACAGCATAGGTTAAGTTAGGTTAGACGTGTAAATTGAGTGTATAGCTGCTAGAATAGACGTTGTCGAGCGATGTCGAGTAGAAACAAAGCTAAAAACAAGACGAAGAATAATGATGCGATCGAAAATGGAGCGACTGACGATGTCGTCGAGGAGATTGCAGAGAAGATTGCGGATGTGGAGATCAACGAGGAAACGCCGACTAAAAAGCTCACGCACAAGGAAAAGAAAAAACTGAAGAAACAGCAGGAGTATGAGCGGACAATGGAAATGCTGACGAAGGCTGGCGGCCAAGGTCACAGCGAACTGGAGTCAAACTTCACGATTTCGCAGAGCCAAACGCAGCAACGCGGCAATCAACAGCTGGACCATGCGGTCGACATCAAAGTGGAGAATTTTAGCATAGCGGCCAAGGGCAAGGAGCTCTTCACTAATGCTAGTTTGCTAATAGCACAGGGCAGACGTTATGGTCTTGTAGGACCCAATGGGTATGTTTTTTGATATTTCGCAATGTCAGTTATTTATATAATCAGCTTGTTTTTGTGAAAAAAAAAACACAAGTTTTACCGTAAAATGGCTGTTTAAATAGTTGTAATAAACAATAGTTGCTTTTATTACCTAAAAAGTTTATAAAATTATGATTTTAAATGTTGCATAAATTATTGCAATATTACATATTTACATACGTATATTATTAATAAATTATTATTATAACAATTATAAAAAATATAACATTATTATGATTTTTTTAAAATAGTTATTCTCTATAGAGAATACATTATGTTCATTTCATTCGCAGTCATGGAAAAACTACCTTACTGCGCCATATAGCCAAAAGAGCCTTTAATATTCCATCTACCATAGATGTTCTCTATTGTGAGCAAGAAGTTATAGCAGATGATACTCCTGCTGTAGAAGTGGTGCTCAGTGCCGACGTGAAGTGCAAAGAACTTCAGGCGGAATGTAAAAAACTGGAAGAGCTGACAGAACAAGGAGACACTACTGTGCAGAATAGATTGCAAGAAGTAATTACTATTTATTTCTATAAACGTTGAATTTTTCTTCTAAAATATAATTGATAGAGCACATTAAACGTAAAATTTGTATGTATGTTCAAACATTTCGATTTCTGTTTGAAATTTTATCAATAATAAAAAAATATATGCGTTTTTAATGAACATTAATTGAAATATTGAGAATAATTATGAGATAATAATTGTGATATCTTATTATTTATTAGATTTCTTTATTTTAAATTCCATTTTTTTTAAGTAGACTTTGTACTATTAATCAAAATTATACATAACATGATTTATATGTTATATTTTTAGGTTTACGAAGAGTTGAAGGCCATCGGTGCGGATTCGGCAGAGCCACGAGCTAGGAGAATCCTTGCTGGTCTGGGATTCAGTCGTGCGATGCAGAATCGCGCAACAAAAAATTTCTCCGGTGGTTGGCGAATGCGTGTTTCGCTCGCGAGAGCGCTATTTATGGAACCTACATTATTACTGCTGGACGAACCTACAAATCATTTGGATCTGAACGCAGTAATTTGGTTGGATAACTATCTGCAAGCCTGGAAAAAAACCTTATTGATTGTGTCTCACGATCAGAGCTTTTTGGACAACGTGTGTACGGACGTGATACATCTGGATCAGCATAAATTGTTCTATTATAAAGGAAATTATAGTATGTTTAAGAAGATGTACGAGCAGAAGAAGAAGGAAATGATAAAAGCGTATGAGAAGCAAGAGAGGCGGCTGAAGGACCTCAAAGCTGCCGGGCAGAGTAAGAAGCAGGCAGAGAAGAAGCAAAAGGAGGCTCTCACCAGGAAGCAAGAGAAGAACAGGACGAAAATGCAGAAGCAGGAGGAAGAGACTGGACCTACGGAATTGTTGCAGAAACCGAGAGAGTACGTGGTGAAATTCAGCTTCCCAGATCCACCGCCGCTTCAACCTCCAATTCTTGGTCTTCAGAGTAAGTAAAAACAGAAACTTCTTTATCCTAAATCATTGTCGAATGTTATTATCATTTCTAACGATTCGATAATTGAGGATCAATGTAATGTGAAAAATTCAAGCGTGACACACTTCGAATAATTATCTATACTAATTTATTGTTATCTTTCAGATGTTACCTTCGCGTATGATGGACAGAAGTCATTATTTATCGGTGCAGACTTCGGTATAGATTTAGCTTCTCGAATAGCCATAGTTGGTCCTAACGGCGTCGGCAAATCTACCTTCTTGAAATTATTGATGGGCGATTTAACGCCTCTGAAGGGAGAACTTACGAAGAATCATCGATTGGTAGGTGCAAGATCGCACGTATTAAATGATAAAGAATTTGTCATTTCACAGCTTTAAATTTGTAATTCACGAAGTGATTCACATTTAAAGAAGTTTTTTGTTTCATATTTTTATTGCATGACATGCTAATTAATTTACATTTTGTAGAGGATAGGAAGGTTTGACCAGCACTCCGGCGAGCACCTGACCGCCGAGGAGACTCCGTCGGAATATTTGATGCGTCTATTCGATCTTCCGTACGAAAAGGCGCGCAAACAGCTGGGCACCTTCGGTCTCAGCTCTCACGCGCACACTATCAAGATGAAGGATCTATCGGGCGGTCAAAAGGCGCGCGTAGCCCTGGCTGAGCTCTGTTTGAACGCGCCGGATGTAGTGATTCTGGATGAGCCGACCAACAACTTGGACATCGAGTCCATCGACGCGCTGGCTGATGCGATCAATGAATACAAGGGTGGCGTAATCATCGTCTCGCACGACGAACGATTGATCCGAGATACAGAATGTTGTCTCTATGTGATTGAGAATCAGCAAATTAACCCGATCGACGGCGACTTCGACGATTACAGGAAGGAATTGCTCGAGAGTCTGGGCGAGGTCATCAACAATCCAAGCATAGCCGCAAACGCCGCTGTTTTACAATAATTGTCGATTAGTTAGCGCAATCGATAGCCCGTGACATAAAAAAGCGATCACTGAATCGCGATCAAAGCCTTTCGCAGAGACGCTTGCCCGTCTCAAAAAATTATCACATATAAATTTTGTACTATAAATATCCCGTTATGATCGACTGTAAAAATAAATCGCTGAGAACGTGGAGCTTAAATGAACATTTTTAATGATTTAACCCACGCTTTATTTACTCGGTTAATGATATTGATAATTAATGTTAATGACGTTTAATTGCGTTAATTCTTGTCTTCTGATAGAAACCTTATAGACTTGGCAAAGTATTTTAGATTGAGATATGTAAATTAATGAATTTTTATTTTATTAATGCATCAGTAGAAGGATGTTCAAGATTTTAAATAAACACAGTTTTATAGTTGCGTTCAATTACTGTTTTTCTATCCCTAAAATTATCCTTATTTCTATTTAGAATATTTTTACTAATTTTTTTATTTATATAAAAA